ACAGTTATCAGATTCTCCAAAACATACATCTAGTTGGACTGTTGTCAGAATCTCCATAGGTACATCTGGTTGGACTGTTGTCAGAATCTCAATAGGTATATTTAGTTAGACTGTTGTCAGAATCTCCATAGGTATATCTAGTTAGACTGTTGTCAGAATTTCCCAAACATACATCTGGTTAGACTGTTGTCAGAATCTCAATAGGTACATTTAGTTAGACTGTTGTCAGAATCTCCATAGGTATATCTAGTTAGCCTGTTGTCAGAATTTCCCAAACATACATCTGGTAACTCAGTTGTCAGAATCTGCCAAACATCCATCTGGTAAGTCAGTTGTCAGAATCTGCCAAACATACATCTGGTTAGTCAGTTGTCAGAATCTTCCAAACGTACATTTGGTAAGTCAGTTGTCAGAATCTCCCAAACGTACATCTGGTAAGTCAGTTGTCAGAATCCCCTAAACATACATCTGGTAAGTCAGTTGTCAGAATCTCCCAAACATACATCTGGTTAGTCAGTTGTTAGTTTTCCAGAGGTACATCTAATTAGTTCGTTGTCGAATATTGCGAAAAGTTAAACTTGATAGACCGTAATCAGAATTTCCGAAAATTACATAAGTAAAGAAGTGCGAATTCTTGGCTCCAGAATACTAAACGCTATATTGAATATACAGGACTTTTTCATCATAATATTATCATTATTTAACCCCATCCCATCACATAAAAAACTGCAAATCCTAGTTTCTCATTTAGAAAATATTCTCACAGCTGAAAATCAAATGTTGACAGTAACACTTGTTCGATGCTGATTGAACCGGCTTCTGTGGAAATGTACTGGAAAACAGGACGCAATTATTCAGGCTCGTGTGGTTTGTGGTAGTGATATTCTATATTATCTATTTACTACTTTATACCAGCTACCGGTAGCATGATAAATTCATTATCACTGGTTGTCAGTACGAGAAGAACTTGAGAACGGACTTTTCCATTCCCCAACACTTGGGAACATAACGTTTGCTCGCGCCAGATGACGTCAAAAACCGGAAATAGTGTCCACACAAAATTGATCCGCGTAAGGAAATAGTGCGTCATGAACATATCAATACAGAGTTACGGGAAAATATTGTGAGAATAACAACACCATTTCAGGTATAAACGTGCATATGGAAAAGCCAATGACAATAGGATTGTTTAAAAAATAAATAAAAATCTACGTATTTTTTAGGTTCATTGTATTCCTCCGCGCAAAACTTCTATTTGTTTACGTTTGTCACAGGCAATCGTTGACTATTGAGCTAATAATAATAATAATAATAATTATTCGGTAAAAGCAAGATACAGGTACAAATATCACATAAGATCACAGATTTCAATTGCATAATAATCACAGATTTATCACAGTATTTAGCTTATCACATCAAAGTTAATATCACAAATTTTGGAGCACTATAATTACAATGTATCTGTTTGACTAAGCTTTAACCTAGGATATCCCATGAAAGCTGGGTGGCAGCTTATTTCCAATGGGGTCCTCTAGTATAGATCTTAATTACTTAGATAACAAAAGGTCCTAAGGATTTGACCTTATAATATGAATATAAGATGGTATAATTTCTCGTAATAATATATATATGAATAGAATAAGTTGTAATTGGTCAAATATGATGATGATATATTATTTCATCAAAATGAGATGTTATTTTATTTGACGGTATAAGATGGAGTTGTCATTAGCAAATATGATTCCCTTCTGATAATATATATATGTGGGGCTTATGCATGATGTTGTTTCCACTTGTAATATTAAAATATCAGTTATATGTATCACTGTACATATCATAAAGCAAGATGATGTCATTCTTGCAGTTATTAAGTAACAATATAAGATATACATTTATACTGTGGTACTTGTGTGTAGAACAGACAACAGGTGGTTGGACAGTCCCTACCAACCTATTATCTGTCTAACAAATTATAGCAATTTTGGGTATAATACATATATAAAAATGACTTTTAATAAAATAAAGATTGAGGATGATGGTAATAAAATGTTCCATAACATTTATAAAAATACATATTATATTGGTACTTTAGTTAAAACTTTGGTAATACATCATATATTTTTCAGAAGAAGTTTCGAGTCATCCACTGGGATAGAATAAAAATTACCTTTAGAAGACAAATTCTTGCTCAAAATCATTTTTGATTTAAGCTAAGTAGTCATTTTGAAAACATGGTGTTTTAGTTGAGTTTTTTAAAACGGAGAGATATATAAGGTAGTAGTATATAGATGATAAATAGTTTATCACTCTGTAATTTCAGGGTTTGTCGTGAGAACAATTTTCTCATCGCTCGCACGTTGATAAAATCGAGAGGCCAACTGCGGTGGCCTCGAGACTTTATCTACGTGCGAGCGATGAGAAAATTGTTCGAACGACAAACCCTGAAAATACTGTATGATAATCTATAAGTTTTACTATTTAGTAAGTTATCCTATGATAACAATGTCTAATGTTGAAGGTACACAGGGAGTCACGACCGAAAGGGAATGGTAGATGAAAAAATGGGAGACATATCATACTAACTAAAGATACATTTTATTATCAGTAAGATAAAGGAAGGAGAGACAAATGAGTAAAATTGGTTAAAAGACAGAAAAGGAAAAGATACAACACCTATGGCAATATAAAATATAACACGTGAGTGTTTTGCAATCGGAAACTGAAGAGATGTTCTGTTGTTCAAAACCTTTTTTTCAAAACAACCATACAGATCTTAGCATTACTATTATATATATATATTTTTAAAAAAGCAGAAAAATTATCCTTACGGACGAAGAAATATTATAAAAAGGAAAATTCTCAACAACGAGTCTTTAGTACTTTCATTTCTTTTAGGAGATTCTTCAGACTAACGGACGATCTGAAAGATTTATGTTTTTATTCTATATATACAGTGTATATATATGTATCAGGGGCGGGTCCAGGTGAGGGCGTAATGGGCATACGCCCCCCCCCCCCCCCCCTAAAAAAAAAAAAAAAAATATCGTAGTCTGCTAATATTGTATTGAATATGGCAATTTATCATATTCATTAATTAAACACATAAACACCCTGACACTTTAACTATAAAATATACATGCTCCAAGTCAGGAACCGTTACATTAGTGCAATTCACAATTATTTTATGTTTTTTAGCCAAAAAATGTATATATATAAAACATATAAGCACGTAAGGACAATGACAAGGTTTCAAGTTACCGAATCGTTATTGCAATAGATGATGCCCTAGTATCCCACAGTGTGAATATCGTATACCGACCAGGAAGTTAACTTGACATTGGTTTGTCCAGGCTTTACACTACGCTAGACAACGTGTCGTAATCAGACGCACCCACTGTAAACTGAAACACGTAATCATGCCAACTCTAAATGGTTAATTAAACCAGGTAATGCAGGTTTTAATCCAGGTTTTGTTTTATCTTTGGTTTGGGGTAATTCCATGTTTTGTTTAATCTTTTGTTTGAGTAAAATCCCGATTTTTTCATTTGTTGGTTAAAATTAAACACTGTCTCATCAGGTCATGTGTGGACAGTGTTTTCTGATGGTGGAGCAGCCCGAGGAGGGTTTTGAGCGTCACAACTCGGACGCGAGTACTTCCTCTTTGTGACGCTATGCTCAATTAATATGCGTTATTTGCTAACGGTGATCCTCACTACCTAGTAATATCAAGACGAGGAACAGTTTATCACACGTATACTCGTCGATCTACGTTGGCCTCTCCATTTCATTGACGTGGTCGCAGTGATATTTTTTTTTATAACGACCAACTTTGAAAACAGAGTGCGCTGCAGGTTTCATCCTTCGACTCCGTGTGTTAGTTATCTGTCAAAATTTATGGTTTGACAATGCTTTTCGACGTCACGATTGCAAATACATGACATCACATTTCGTATCGAATTTGAGTCGAATTGTGAGTATGGTACGAGAAGAAAGCCTCGATACATTGCTTATGGGTAAAGAGAGAATAGCATACCCGAAATAACCCGAAACCCTTCCTATGAGCCTGAGGGGACGGAGGCCCGAAAGCTGTTTTGGTCGTTGGATAGATATGGTAAATGTCATATCTTAAATTTTTATCATCTTTTACACACTGTAAATATTCAAGCTCAACATCAAAATTATTAACATTAACACATGTTTAGTGTTTTTGAGGCATGATTTTTCTGAAAACTAGAAGTTTGACGGATATGGCGCGTGTCGGGCATTTATGGCGCTTGTCTAGCGGTATAGCGATTGAGTGCAGATTTGTGTGTGTCATCCATGACGTGCCTATGCACAGCTAGCAGTTTGCACATGTAAAACAACCCATATAACGGTGAGGTATAAGGTAAATTAGCTATCTGAAATATAATATTTTGTTAAAATTTATATTCAATTTCGTGGTATTATTCGCAAAAAAATATCCTACTCGCTGAATATCGTAGATTATAGAAAAAGAACACACAATACAGAAAATCCAGCAGGAATTTCTGGATATGAAACTAAGAGTTTATTAAAACACGTTTAACTATATTGATAACATCGACATAAGTCCGAATCATTAGATAATAATATTGAAATAACGGTTACACAAATCACTTCTACAATGTGTAAGTTTATTCGGGGGAGTTTATGATAAACTGTTTAAAACATGCATTGCATAGATTCGGGTTCCACGCTCTTATACAGCAGTACGGCAGTACTAAATCTGTCTCGTTATTGTTACGTTTGATGACCATTCAACTGTCGTGGGGCCGGAAAATGTAACAGCCACACAAGGATCTAGTCAACAGCTGTCCAGTCTAGTCTTATTACATAGGATTCAATTTTACATATCCATTTACTTTAAATCAATTATGTGTACATGATGTCCCCTTTGCAACCCAAAGTTAAATGAGATAAATATCTTGCACAACATATTTGTCACCGTGGAATTTGAATCATAATAAATACACAAAAAAACAAAACGTGTATATGTCTAAGTAAACATTTTGGGAAGGCATTGTAGCAGAATGATCGACTGGGTACTACCCTGGGTACTAGCCTGCTGACTTCAAATCTGACAGCGTTGTACCGACTGGAATAAGGTTTGACGCCCAAGTTCCCCTTTCTGCACTACGTTGAGTTGGCGTTCTGCCAGAGACTGGCGCACGGGTCGGTTAGAACTAGGGCGCTGGGATATACCACAGTATATACATAGTGGCATGGACAGTGAATGGTTGTGTAACTACACAGCTCTTCACGCTGGAACAGTAGCACCACGTCGCAGGGATTAATAAGCTTTTGCGATAAAATTATCTTCATCAGCATTATCGTAAGTATTAAAATATACGATAATTGTTATTGTTTCATATTGTGTTCTGAATAATAACATTCTTTTTATTTTGAAATAGTGGCAATTATTGAAGTGCGTTGTGATATATTGGACTTTGTTTTAAAATGTTAATAAATTGTATTACACTGTTTCAATTACTACTAATTTGACTTTTTCGATATATTTATCTCAAATTTTGTCCTATGTTAGACTGGTATGTGAACTGATACTTTATTGAAATTTATATGGACAATAAAATTGAAAATCAATAAAAGCTATGTTAATTTTTGAATTTCTTTCTCATGTTATTACTCCGAAATACTTTCCGAAATCCTTACAAATATAGCATAGACGGACATTTGTGGACACATCTTGCAACGATTTTCGGAAACAAATACGAGATTTTGGATTGTGAATAATTAAAATAGTTGCTGGCTTGTTGTTTTAATGTATAACAGATACATATTTGAACATAGAAATGAATCAAAGGCTGTGTGTTGTTTAGCCGTGGTTTTATTCTTATGGAATGTTAAACAGTCAATAACGAGATAAAACCATATTACTACACATTGGTTATAAATACACACTGTTTATTTTCTTCAGTCTCGTACAGTGACAGGAAGTAAACTCTCCGTTTGGATTTATTGTCTTTCTCATGGAAAACTGGGTCTATGACAATTGACAATATCCATGACCTAAAGTCCATTGATGAAATGTAAAACTTTTGTTGAACTTTGACCCCGGTGGCATGTGTTCAGTCCTTACGTACGTCTACACCTCTGTGATCCGGTCATACCATCAATATGCTATTCAGACGTTAACAGGATTTCTGAAATAGAAATTAGTTGACAAAACATCTTACTTTTTAATGGTTTTATTTCTTCCTATCGTGATTTGACCTGAGAAAACGCATATTAAATCCTTAAGATTTAATTGAAAGAACTTGTTTATCATGATGCTACATGTTGTAACACATCTATAAAGCCCCATATGTTAGAATAGCAATGCGGACAGAGCAAGATAGCGATATTTATTATTTTGCACTTGTAAATTGGCAGTTCTGACAGTTTTCCTCATTTCCTCTCTTACTTTCTGTGTGAATAAAATGCTCGGCGGTTAAAGCTTTATGTCGCAACAATATAGTATATATCCTTCATTTATCAGATTGGATTAATGTTTTATAAAGAGACATCTTGTCCTATATGTGGAGCGCTCAAACAAGTTCATTACGTGAAAGTTTCAAATAAATACATAGATATTCATATTTATATAAAGTGCATGTTAAAGTGTTTCAATACTTAGTAAACATGTTTTAACATTCCCACATAACAGACATTGTTTTTCGAATTTCTTACCTCAATCCTTTCATTTAACGTTGTTATTTGTCCAATTTATTTCTAGTACTACATACTAGAATATAATCACATCATCCATTGGCTATAGTTGCATGCTTGAACGGAATACTTTTTAAATTAACATGACACCCTAACTCTGATATAACTTCCGTATCCGCCCTAACGTGAGGGAATCTTTGAAAAATACTGCTTCACTATAACTCCAGATTCTAACATACCTCCTTACTTGATCAGTTTTGCTGCACTACAAAGAGAATATAATTGTGTTTGTTCAGAATATGATCATCCCACTATTCGGTGACGAGGTAATTATAAGGTTTCATTAGGATATACGTAAAGGTTTTATCAGACGTACGATAGGGTAAGTAATAATATACCCTATACACATTTTTAGTTAATTAATTTTTCTTTTTATCCAAATCAGTTTAGTTTTCTTTTTATTTCACTTTGAAACTGTTTACTAAAAGCTTCTAGAAAAGATATTTGCAAACTATATAACAAAAGAAATAATATATTTCATAGCCGTAAAAATACTTGTCGGTTTGGCCATCTTCAATTTAATTTTACTTTTAGAAATAATGAGCTGTCTCCTTAATTCATAGTTGTAGTCAGTCACAATATTGTGTAGCATTAACTATTTAATGCAGTTTCCGACAAAGCCAAGTTTAAAGCAATTCTATTTTTATCGATAGATTTTAAAGACAAGAATTGAAATGTTTTCTGAAATCCTATCATTTATAAAGTATACATAAGTTCATAATATGATACTAGTTTGGGCCCGATAAACGATATGAAGAAATTCTGGTCGACATCAATTTAGTCAACATTTATCTAATCCTTCCATCTCTAGAGGCGTTAACAGATAATGATGCTATGGGTGGCCAATTGTTAATTTTGTACAGACTGGGTCATTGTAGTGAGTTAATTTTGTACAGACTGGGTCATTGAAGTGAGTTAATTTTGTACAGACTGGGTCATTGTAGTTAGTTAATTTTGTACAGACTGGGTCATTGTAGTGAGGTTGTTTTGTACAGACTGGGTCATTGTAGTGAGTTAATTTTGTACAGACTGGGTCATTGTAGTGAGTTAAATTTGTACAGATTGGGTCATTGCAGTGATTTAATTTTGTACAGACTTGGTCATTGTAGTGAGTTAATTTTGTAC